ATCATTTAAACTAAATTCACAATGTCAAATCTCCTAAATAAAATTACAATTTCGTTGGGCCCTACGCTTCCACAGCAAACGGTTTTGCGCCGTTCCTACCTAGCCAAATCTCAACAACGAGGACAACACATCATTTTAAATTCAACAGATTCTTATCACTGCTCCACATTGAATTTGGGTCTGGTGCGGCTGCGACGGGCATGTGGGGAAATTGGTTGAATACAGAATGTTTGCCAATTTGAATATAAATTGAAATAGGATGTTGGGTATTCAAATGGATTTTAACTTCAGGGCAAACGATATCATTAGATTAACATCAGATTAAATTGATTGGTCGTGAATTGCGGTCGCCTACACTGCGGTAGCCTGTCATGGCTTGAAATCAGCAACAATTTTACTAAAATTGAGTTTTCTTGTTGTTGTGTTTTTCTTGTTTTGTAGAAACTTTAGTTGATGCTTACCTATATACATTTATGTGCTAAAGTTCTATTAAATTAGTAGTTTGCTTAATTTTATTCTAATTTTATAATCAATAATACCACAAGAACCACACCTTATATTGCTCTCTTGACTCAAAAAACAAAATAACTTTCCATTCGATGAATTCCTCAAATCTTTACAACTTTATTTAAGATAAGTTTCGTGTATGTTTATAAAATATAAGTAAGTATCTATAGCTTCATTCACTTTTACAAGTTTTTCATTAAAGTAAAATTAGACTTCAATCATTATTTTTTATTTTTAATGCAATGCTCGCTGAACTAGAATCTGCATATCCTATAGACCAGGGCTGTCCAAAGCACGTCCCCCGGGCTACATGCGGCCCGCTACATGTTTTTAATCTACCACAATTATACAAATTTTCATTTGATTTTTTCATTTTTAATAAATGAATTTAAATTAATAAAATTAAATTTAACAAAATAACCGTATTTTTATTTTTGTCTAAAACAACTATGAACTTATGTATTTGTTTCTGCGGCCATCCAATCTGTACAGTGATGGATGTAGTTCGAAATAAGCTTGTAAATCTATTATAATATTTTACTTTAATTAAGCTTTTACCATTTTAATTTCTTTACTATTTTTTTTACAATTTTCACTACATTTAATATTATATTTCATCTATTATATTGTTACTATAATTCGGTTTTTCTTAGACAAATTCATTTAACTCTTAGCATCATTGTTCATTTAGTATAATATTGGGCTACACCGATATGAGATTAAGTGACTTTCTAATTGCAATCGAATATATTTCTGCTTTTCCCAAAATTACTTTTCTAAAATAATAAAATCTAATTACTTTTAGTATTAGAAAAAACAACTTATTTCGATTTTCAGTTAGCTTGAAAAAATTGCAACGAATTATCAAAAAGATTGAATACATATGTAGAAATAGGTATATTACCTATGTTAAAGGAAATCAGTATCTAACTGATTAAGTCACAGTATCAACACATGTTTACATAGATAAAAAGTTTATATAGATAAACTAATACTCATCATCTGACATCCTTCAGACTTATTATCTAACGATAGTTCCTGAAGGAGCTATCGTCCGAACGAAAGCGGTTTTTACGGCGGTTGAAATTCCCCACTGACCAGATTTTCGAGCTTTGTACCCATTCTAAAAAATCATCTGACAACATGGTATATAACTGCTCAATACACTTGCACTTACAAAATGCGACATGTGACACTCGCAGTTATAATATAACTACAGAGTGTACTATAATTATATTTAAATGTAGGAATCGTTTTAAAAATATCCTGACAATATATATTCCAGTAAAACCGTTTCATCTAAATAAACCATTTAGTTTTTATTCTTAGAACGCACATAGATATTCCATGATTAGTTCGTTCTCTTACAATATCTACATTACATACAATATGTTGTATGTTGTTCAATATATTTCCTTCACAATGCAACATATGTCTTAACAAAACTTTTATACCACTTAATCACAATAGATAAAGGACATTAAAAGAAGTTTGGCTGAATCTTTATCTTAGTTTGAAATGATTTACATGGCGACATCGTTCAAGAGAATGTAATCTTAATAGTTAATATAATCGGATTATAGTGTAATTTTTTCAGAAAAAATTTTTATTCTAAGTTTAAATATTGCACTCATAAATTTTCGGACACTAGTCATTTTCAAGTATTCTGACCGTCATACAGAAGTAAAGTCAAGTGAGTATAAAATTGACGTTATTATGAATTGTTGAATAAATTCATGAAATACGTAGATCACGATCAAATAAACTACCAGATGTCTTTATTTAATTATTAAATGATTCTAAATTATACCAAAATCACATTACATGTCAATCCAAATACAAATTCAATCAAATAGAATCAAATCAAATAGAATAGTAGAAGTCAAGACCAACCGTCAGTTAAATAACCGCCAGTTAACCGTATTAACAATACCTGTCCGTAAAATAATATATATTTAGATGAATTTAAAATAAAAATAAAAAACAACAAAAAAATAAAATAAAAATAACAGTTGTTTTAAAAATATTACATTCCTTTTATTTTTTTATTTTTAACTTTTATTTATTAACTAAACAATATCACATAACAGAAAAATACTTTTATATTCTAGGATATTTCTTTTAGTAATATCCTTAGAAAATACAAATAATATTTTTTTCAGGTTCGCAATACCCTTTGAGTCATAATCATTTCTCCTCACAATGAAAATAGCATAGAATATATCTTCTGAACTCCATAAATATGAAATGTCATATCATCACATAAGCAACCTGATTCTAGTTTCATATATTTAAAATGAATTAATTTCCCGCATAATAATATTTAAGTATTAATGTCCATCAGTTTGCTTGCAACGTGAACAATAATTCAGTAAAACACAGATCTAAGGTAAATTATTGCTTAGTCTGATGAAGTGATGAACATTAATCCAGTCAAGGCGTAAAGAGGGGTTTTGAAGATACCCCTCAAGTGATCAAGTGCATTGGCTCAAATAGCTTCAACATATATACAAATGAATTAACAGAGCAATATTACTTACATTTGGAAACAAAATTATTGGAGAATATTTATTGAAGTCAAAACCTCATTTGAAGAACTTTCCTAAAAATATGGATATATGTATGTAGGTATATCACCCAATCGCAAATGTATATCCCAAGCGAAAATCGCAATTAATTGTCAAATTTTTTCTGTAAGATACTGTTATGGCTGCCATATGACAGAATTTCATACAAAAAGTTCTTAACACAATACTCTAACTTAGTAGGTTTAATCTACTGACAATTGCACTATTTGTTTAAGTTCTAACACCTAATGCATGCCTACGAAGCTAGTTGACTAGACGAAATTAAAAATGTGGCACAACAGAGAAATGATAGTAATATTAATTAAAGTTCATATTTAATCATATTTGTGTAAGTGAAAGTATATTTAATTTGAAAACTTGAACTAATAAAAAGAGAGATATATTTTTTATTCTTTATATTATTATTTACTCGCCGCAAATAATGTTACACCCAAATTAATTTATAGTTCCAGAAAATCTTCACGCTACCATTGGACCTCGGGCCGTCTTTAAAATAGTATATTATTTTTATACCATACGAGCATTTATATCAGTTTAGGTACGTACTTTCCAAATCTCATTTTGAAATTCGACTAGAGGTCAGTATGTTAAACAACCCAACTATATACAGCTCATTAGTTTATTTAACTGGACAAATTCTGTGTAGAACATCCATGTTGATGGATGGTCAGGTTCGTTTGTTGATTTTGCTTTTCATAAACCAAAAAATCAACATTAAACGATGAAGTTGTTTTTCGTTTTGTAAATACATTAACAATTTCGTATCGAAAATGTGGCAGCACGTATTCGTGGCAAAAATCCAATCTGAATTGTTGAAATTAAGTTGAACGTTTCCAACGTTTCCAATGTGGTGCACATCAGAGGTGCAGAAGGTGGAGGGCTAGAACATTGCAGCCTACAATTTCCTGCTAAACCCATTTGCATAGAACACGATTGCGTTTCGATCAACATTTATTCATTTACTTGCTTACACAAACTCGCATTCTACACTGCAATAGAATTTTACTACCAGCAACTTTGTAAATACATTTTATGTACTTGCACTTTAAAATCAACAACGAAGTGCCTGAGTTTTCCAAGTCAAAGTTCGTAAAACGTACAAAAACATTTCATGAATGAGATAAATTTATATACAAAATCAGAGGCCTACCTTTCTACATAACTACTCACATCAGTTATCAATTTTGAGCATGAATTCGCAAATTCATTATATTCCCAAACATGTTACTTCATATTTACTTAACCACAAACTCGTTTACACAACAATAATTATTGACAATTTGTGTAATTAATTATTTAATTAATTTATAATTAATAAAGGACTGGAACGCTCACATATTCAAATCTCCAAATTCAAAAACGCAAAAACTTCCCTTGAGTTTAAAGCTTTCAATTGGACTCTCAACTTTTTTAACACTCTAAA